CACTGCCAGGGATCCAGGGGCAGCCACAGCTTCTCTGGGCACCCTGTGCCAGGGCCTCCCCACCCTCCCAGCCAAGAATTTCTCCCACTGAGATATTCCTAACAATGCCAGTCCCAGCCATGGCATTCATTTCCATTTCTCTCTCAGACACAAAAAAAACCAAGGAATAAAGTTTAACACTAAATTTACGGTCAGAATACCTGGACTGTGGCTCCTCCCTCAAACCCCTGGGTTTATTCAGATGAGACTGGGGCTAAATACAAAGCCCTGCCYAAAGGAGGTTGCTGAGCTCACCGTTGGGGTTGTAGCAGTAGGCGTCCCACCTCTCGCTCCGGTTGAGCCGAATTCCATAATCGACAATTCCAGTCTTTCCAAARCCACAGTTGGCTCCGGCTTTGACGATGGGATAGCCAACTCTGCCCTTGGCCATCCAGCCAGCAGCACACACGTGGAAACCTGCACACAGGAGAGTGGATCTGATGAATCCCAGGACAGAAATGCTGCTTTTGGTTCAATAAAATCTGAGCTGGGGAGAACTGGCCTGATTGAAATTGAGCTTCATGGGAGAACAGGACTTGGAGAGGATAATTTCAGACACAGAGGATAATTTTAGACACACACAGAATTGTATTCTCACAATGTGATTACTGGTTCTTCATCTGAAACCCAGAATCGAATGCAGAAGGACTGCACAGCTCCCTGGGTAGTCAGTTTGGAGTGCTCTACCAGCACTTTTAATCAAATTATCCACTGGGTGAGTTTTCCAAGGGTGTTTTTTGTTTCACTTTGGAAATCCCACAAATCTGCTCAATCCCATCTCAAGAGCTCTCAGCACGGAGTTCTAAAAATACATAAAATAGTGCAGACAAATACTACAGACAGCTAAAATCCCCGAGTATTTGCTTAAAACACTTCCAGCTGAAATTTAAATACCTGAAATGCCTCAAGTATTTCAAGCCAAACAGAAAGATCCCCTTAATGCATTTTGTGGCTGAGAACTTCACWCCACCAGCCAAAGAATGCAACGCTGTTCACCCTCTGCTGGAGACCCATCCAATGTTTTTATGGAGAGGAACTGGAGCAGATTTGTGGCATCTCAGGGTTACTGAGAAGAAACAAAAGCGCCCTTTTTGCGTGTGTRCTGGTGCTGGGAGCCAGCTCTGACTCAACAGCAGAGGGAAAAAAATGTCTGGAG